GGCTATATCAACCCAAAAAGTGTAAAACAAACTGTACAGAACAGGATTTTAGGGCTTTCTCAACTGTGGGACATAAGTAGACTCTAACCTAAATAACTGCTGCGATCCTGAAGGCTACATTCCGTTGAGGGTAGCTAATTTTTCTTTCAGACAAGCCTTCTAGCATCTATTTGACTTGGATTTTCCATCCATTCAATATGAAAGGTGTAGTTTTTTTTTAAAAAAGTATCTGTCACCCAGTTTGCATCAGTTCAGCTCTCAAAGTCAACCACGACACCAACTCTACAACGTGGCTTCAGGCAAATATTATACAATCCTCCAGTATAATAAATCAACAACTGGTGTTACATCAATTCCCAATCCTTTTCCCTTTGTCATGCTTCCTCTGACTGTGTAAACCCAATATCAGGATGTCACAGAAAAATTGGGGGGAGGAGCAATTGTGCGCATGTGGTTCAAAGCACTTATTTCCCAATATAATGGGACAAGTCAGCTCATGTGTGAGAATGAACAACTTGTATACTTATATGGCGCCTTTCATAGAGGATGAAGAATTGAATTCTATTCCAAATCTGGTGCAAATATTATAGTATAGATCAGGTCTACCTACCTACATCTGAAATCTCATACCATTTTCTGTAGTATCAAAATGTTCATAGAGTTAGCTCCTTATTGAGTAATTTTTAGCAGCTTTCAACCTGTTCCCAGAGGAGGTGTTCTGCATGAGGGATGCTATATAAATGCAAGTTGAAGTTGTTGTTGTGTCCGTACAATTGGTACATTTGTCAAGGTGCATAAAAATGCTAATTTGGGTAAGCTTTATATATTTAAAAAAAAGTAGAAACTGAAAATCAAGGGAATATTGAAATTAAAATGGGACAAATGTTCAAAATATGTATATATATGTACACTTTCTTTCCATCATATTCCTCAACAAAGCTAATGTTTCTGCTAAACCTAATCTGTTTAGTCATCAGAAAAATAATTGAGAAAAAGGCTATTATTTGTAAATGCACAGTACCACAAAAAAAATCAGTGTTTAGTCGTTTAGATACAATGGAATTTAAGCATCCCAGTCTGCAAAGTAAAAAAACTATTGCCTAAGATGCAATCGTGTTCTTTGAGGTATATGCTCTTGATATGCTTAGCAACTATCAATGTCAAAGATGTTCCGAATCAGCTGCTTATCTTCGGGCTTTTGCTCATTTGTGTTCTTAAAGGTAAAGTCTATTCTTGTCCTTCAGAGAAATTATTGCTCCAAATCCAAAACAGAAGTATTGATCACAGTTGTGAAATGTGATAAGTGTGTATGAAAATATATATATATATATTTAGAATGGGCAATATACTTTAATCGTTGCTAGCTACATGAAATTATTCAAATGGTTAAACTATTACTACAGAAAGAGAAAGATCCCTACATTGTTAAAACTAAAGCAAGCAAGAATCGTGCATCTGTTTGTATCTGAAGGCTTCTCATTAGCACAACCCATAGCCATTCTGCATGAATTCTCTTTTATGTGTGCTATTATTCTATCTCTCCACAAACTGTTACTAATAGCCTGTGTTGTAAAATCTGCCTTGGGACTGATTTACGACCACCCTTCCATGTCCTCGCCGGAGGAGAGAGGCATTTCAAAAGAAAATCCACCTGATCTCTGAATTTAAAAATTCCCATCTGTTGTTCGCATCGCAGAGCAGAGAGAGAAAAAAAATCATCAAAACATAAAACCAAGTGGTCCATTGCACTTTGACTATTAAACCCATATTGTACGACTCCATTCCCAGGTAGGATTTATGTACCTTTTAGATAATGCGCAGTTGTCAAGGCTCCACATAAATCAAGGATGAATCAGCGTGGTAAATTTTTTCAAGTGTTATTCCAACCATGATGTTCTGTGATTGTCCATAGCAGTCATGATGCTATTCAAGTTCATCTGTCATTTAACTGCAGTTCATCTGGTAAACTTCTAACCTGTCACTTTAACACCCCAATACCATCAGACAGATTTTTAAATAATACTACTTGCTTTTGATATAGCATCTTATCGTGTCATCGAGAGGTTTCAAAGCACTTCACAAAATATACTGTGAAGTGTATTTTGGGGGAGAAATGTGGCACAGTCGTGTCCCACAAACAGTTGTGGATTGAGAGACCAAATGCAAAACTAAAATGTCACAATCCTTCAACTATCAAAGCAGAATCAATCACCCTATGGCTACTGGAGTCAGAAATACAATTATTGCAAAATGTGGAGGTACCAATAATGATAATAATCCTTGCATTTGATATAGCACCTTATCACGTCTTTGAGACGTCTCAAAGCGCTTCACAGAATACACTGTAAAGTGAACTGTCTGTATATTTTAGGGGCGAAACGCGGCAGCCAATTGAGCACAGCAGTGTCCCACATCCAGTCGTGGATTACTGTGAAACAAAAAAGCATTAAGCAATCACACAGGAATCTGTGTCCAACTGAGAATAAATTCAGAATGTTGCACTTTCTTTTAACCAGAGTATTTCACGCCTCATTTCTTCCGAATGAGTCTTTCCAACCAACCGCAATGCAAATAAGTTAATGCTATCCAAATATTGTTAGGAAAAGAAAATGAGTTAAAGGCTATCATGTGTCTTCAGTAAACTACTGTAATCTGCAAAGCAGCTGTGTTGTAAAAAGGTGTCCCAAACTCGGGATTTATTCAGAAAATAAGACAGACCACTATCATGAATGAGGTTAAACTTGGCGATGAAATAACAAGTTAGTTACACTAATTCAGGCTTTTTCTGATATTTTTTAGGGGCAACTGCGAATGGGTGAATGCACACAAGGTACCAAAAGCCCTACTCAACATCAGGAAATGATCACATTTGCTAACCAATATGTAACCTGGCACAAAAGAACCACATCTGATTTCAAAGTAAACAGCACTGGAATCATGACCCCCCCCCCCCCCCCACCAAATCTTTGCTGCAAGTTGTTTTTGCGCTCTCCCAGTCACAACGAAGCCGCATTGTACTTTGATTCGAAAGACAGCGTTCACAGCATTTAAACAGTTGCCGACTTGGGGGGACGTTTCAATCTGAATCCAATGAATTATGCAAAAAAAAAAAAAACGTGCAATATTTATGAGTACATGCTACGTGCCTCACTGCCAAAGCCCCAATTGCATACGTTTTCTGCAGCTGCAAATCTCTGCTTGGAGCTTATTTTGCGTATCCCATTAACAATTCGGTGTGCAACCGTGACAAGCAATGCTGGGGGCAGCGAGGGGGAGAGGAGGGGGGTCGTCTAACCCTCGGTCGGTTTGGGAACTTGTGTGTAACCTGGACAATCAGGGAGGGAGGGAGGGAGGGATGGAGAGGTGGACTCGTGAGAGCATTTCACTCTCTCACTTTTGCTCCCATAGCATCTCCTAAATAATCAAACGCAGGGAATCTTCGTGCCCCACTGCTCGGGGCTACGTTTCTTTTTTTTTGCTCAATCGTAGCCAAAGGGAGTATTTTTCTGATCCTCCAAAGGGATTTTGTGGTTGCAAACATTCAACTTTGCTCAGTTGATGCCTTGGCAATCGCGTGAAGTCTTTGCAATTTCGCCTACTCGTGGGATTGGGATAAGAGAGCGAGAGAGAGAGGGAGAGATCAGAGATCTGGACGATGGTCAAGTGCAACAGTATATAATATCCTTCATCGGGAGCTCAATGCATCTCATTCCCTTTAGCAGATAACACCCCCCCCAACCAGTCTGTTAAATGCAAATACCTTTTTTAATAGAGGATCAGGGGCGCTGCACCTATTTCATTCCAACTCACTGGTCGGACAATCTCCACATTGATGTCCAAAATGCATTTATTTTATTTCAGAAATAAAGCAATCCCCTTGTTTTGTGGGGGTGTGGGGTGTGGGGGGGGTTGTCCCATCTGGGTCGCTTGGGTTAGATGGAAGGAGCATAATCACATGATTTTTTTTCTCTCCTCTCTGTCCCTCCCTCCCTCCCTCTCTCTCTCTCTCTCCCCATCATCTCATCCCCTGATCGCTCTTACATTCATAATCTCCCACACACTCACTCTCATTATCTATCCATCCATCCATCCACCCACCTCCGGCTGGTCAATGTGGTTCAAATGCTGTCCAACCTTCCTCCCCCACCCCCACCTCCCCCAAATAAAAAAAGATGGTTAATATGTAATCTGGGTCAGTTGTGAGTGAGGAAGTTGTGTTGAAAAAGCCCCCAATAACAAACACAGTGCCAGAGTTAATCTGGGATCAGATCAACAGCTCAAGTCCAGACCTCTCGTTGCAATTCCCATCTCTTTCTCTTTGCCTAAACCCTAATAAATAGCAGTCGGTACATCAGCCACAGAGTGGAGATCTTAAGCAAAAATCTAAGCAAGTTGATATATTTGGCAGAAGGGTGAGGTGGGGGGGGGGGGGGGGGAGAGAGGAGGGGGTGGTGGGCAGAGAGAGAGAGAGAGAGAGAGAGTGAGGGAGAGGATGAGTTAGTTATTTGATATACATTTTCCCAGCGCGATGCGTTCACAGATTATTTTTAAATGGGTAAAGCGATGGGATCAGAGTGGGGTTTACCATCCAGTCCCCCCCCACCCCCACCCCCACCCCCCCACCCCCACACCCCCAGGTCTGTTATGTGCAATCGATCAACAGCAGCACAGAAAGCAAAGCCCAGACTCCCCCACAGCACCACCCAACACAACACACACCCAACACACAACACCACACACACAACACAACACACACCCAACACACAACACCACACACACAACACAACACACACCCAACACACAACACAACACCACACACACAACACAACACACAACACCACACACACAACACAACACACACCCAACACACAACACCACACACACAACACAATACACACACAACACACAACACCACACACACAACACAACACACACACAACACACAACACCACACACACAACACAACACAACACACAACACACACAGTGCTCTGTACCCACCTCTGGTCGCTGAGGCACCGCAGAACCACACAGTCACCAAAATCAACGCGCTTTGCTGAGCGCACTGTGTTCTCGGCTGCATGGCGATCCCACTTGACACTGATTTTCCTCTCTCTCTCTCTCTCTCTCTCTCAGTTTCTCTCTCTTTTTCTCTCTCTCTCTCACTCTCTCTCTCTCTCCTCCTCCTCTCCTCCTCCTCCTCCTCTCCTCCTCCTTCCCGAGGATCTGTCTTCAGCACCGCGCGGACCCGCAACACTGCTGGACCACTGGATGATGCGATGGGAGCGATAAGGAATCAGAGCCACTGGGGGTGTTGGGGTGTTGGGGTGATGGGGGGTTGGGGTGTTGGGGGGTTGGGGTTGGGGAGGGGATGATGTGCGCGGAGCTGATGCTGATCAGTGGAGGTCTCTCGCAGGACTAAAGGCACAGTCAGATCAGCACAGTCAGGACCAGGGTGACGTCGCCCGAAGTCATACATATTCATTGCTTAACAACTTCCAAACTATTATTAGTCTCTATTTTAAACGAAAAATCAGCCACAACACACACACACACACACACAGGGACACACACACACACACACACAGGGACACACACACACACACACACACAGGGACACACACACACACGCAGGGACACACACACACACACAGGGACACAGACACACACACACAGGGACACACACACACAGGGACACACACACACACAGGGACACACACACACACACAGGGACACACACACACACACACAGGGACACACACACACACAGGGACACACACACACACACAGGGACACACACACACACACACACACAGGGACACACACAGGGACACACACACACACAGGGACACACACACACACACACACAGGGACACACACACACACACACACAGGGACACACACACACACAGGGACACACACACAGGGACACACACACACACACAGGGACACACACACACACACACAGGGACACACACACACACAGAGACACACACACAGGGACACACACACACACAGGGACACACACACACAGGGACACACACACACACACAGGGACACACACACACAGGGACACACACACACACAGGGACACACACACACACAAAAACACACACAGGGACACACACACACACACAGGGACACACACAGGGACACACACACACATAGTGCACTTATTAACCATCAAACACCAACCTCCTCCTCCCAATAGTTTACCAGCTAATTCACATGTTTGTTTTTAAAACTAATCGATGCCTTTTTAGTCCACCACCAATCATTTTGTGTCTGTGTGTGTGTGTGTGGCTGATATTTCTTTTAATTCGGTTTTTGCTATTTTTAAAAAAAATATATATAATATTACAAAAAAATAATAATAATAATAATACGAAGTAGTAGTCTCATAAAGCCTTTAGACCCGGCAGTGCCATGCAAACCACAACCACTTGCATTTATATTGGGTCCTTGTTGGAAGAGGAACATCTCGGGTCGCTTTTACAACAACAACAACAACAAGATTCCATTTATTGAGCGCCTTTCACGTCGGGAGGACGTCCCAAGGCGCTGGACAGTTGGGTCAGGACCCGAGCATTGGGGGGAAATGGTCAGGGTGAGGGGAGGGAAGGGAGGGAGCGAGGAGTGGGTAGAGAGTCGAGAGGAGAGCTGAAGGCACGGTCAAAGAGAAAGGTCTTGAGACCGGCCTTGAAGGAGGAAAGGGAGGAGGCGGCGAAGGCACTGGGGGATAGAGTTCCAGAGTTTAGGAAGAGATTGAGTGTCAGGGCTGCACAGTGCTCAGGAACTGATCAAAGTAAGGAATAGACAAGAGAGAGCAAAGAAAGAAAAGAAAGCTGCCTTATAAACATCGGCATATTGTAACCCCATTGACAGTTTAATAATAATAACTATCCTTGCATTTGATATAGCGCTTTTCACGTCGGGAGGACGTCCCAAAGGGCTTCACAGAACACACTGTAAAGTGAATTGACTGTATATTTGTGGGCGAACGCGGCAGCCAATTGCGCACAGCAATGTCCCACAAACAGTCGTAGATTGAAAATGACCAATTTATTATTGTTTTTGGTTTTGGAGGGATTATTATTAGGCTCTGTGTGGAGTAAGGAAACTTGCCCAAGGTTTGGCCCTCTGCCTGGAATTGAACTCAGGTCTCTCACTTGCAAAGCGAGTGCTCTAACCACTGAGCTACAGGACTCCACCTGTTTAATGCAAGATGCGACTTCATGTGGGATCTCTTTGCAGTAACCCATTGAATCAACTTTTATTGCGGGTTAAAATCCACCAAACTTGCAGTCACGTCAAACAATCAAACGCAGATTGAAAAAGACACGATCCCACATCTTGTAACACATTTATGCAACAATAGCACGTACTAAACTCGCATTTTCTTATTCGTTGAGGTATCAGAGGTTTGCTGGGACCGGTAGATCTAATGCCAGAAGAGAAGAAATTAGCAGAAATAAAATGTGAACGTTACTTTGTCTCTACTCTTGTCACTTTAATCACCTTGGGGATGAGAGATCACTGTTCAATTTGAACACCAGGATTCAGTGCTGTACCACTTTGTATCTTAATATATAATAATACTAATCATAATCCCAGCATTTGATAGTATGCCTCATCACATTGTAGAAAATGTCTCACAAGATTTCCTGCACAGCACAGTGACTGTATGGTTATAGCAAATTCAGGAAAATATATATATTTGTAAATCAGGTAACATTCTTACAATTGTTCACCGACAAAGCACACAATCAATGCACCTTACAGAATTTCCTGTGAAGCACTTTAAGACATCCTCTTGACATAAAGGTGCTATATCCAATGTAAGGATTATTATTTCCTATTTATAAGGGACAAGACATGTGTAAAAATCAGATTCAAGAACGAGTTTTTGCAGCTCTTCGAAAAAGCCAAATATTGCATTATCGTGGACTTGGCAGCCCCCAGGTTATGAAATAAATCAAGAGTAAAAATAGTGAACTCCAATGTTCGCATGTTATTGATGCTCCCATTTCTTCTACATCTCCGCCTTTTCCTGGAGTTGCAGCTGCTGGTCCCAGCAAACCTTTGATATCTCAACAAAAAGGAATTATTGAAAAGTGAGCTGAACGGAGGATTCAAACATAGAGTGTAACACAGCTGAGGATTCATCTCACTTAAATCCACATAGGTACACAATCCAGCAGAGGGCTCTGCAAAGCAAACCGGAGCAAGATCTCAACAGAGTTACCCGCAACACTGTACCTCAACTAATGACTTGGCTGAAATCAGCTATTTTTTTAGTTGCCCGGTATTCATGTTTTAGCACCCTATTTAAATCAAATATGGCATTAATATAAACCCATGTACTCTCAATGCGTTGGCTGACAGATTCTAGATGTTAGAATTAAAGTGCAGCAAAATGTGTCAAAAGGCACCAAAATTACTAACACTCTGAATATTTGCCCTAAATGTTTACAGATTAAAATTATTTCTCATCACAATCAATAATTCTGTATATTTCTGCAATTATTTTCTGGAGGCACTGAAAAATTAGCCACTGGATAAATGCACTGAATCTATTTTTATTAGAAATCAGAACAAAACCAAAATAAAAATGAGAGGCATCAAAATGCTTCAAAAATCGGAAGAAATATATATTTTTACATCATCATTATTTATCCTCATTTATATTTCAGCACAGCTCATATTTTCAAAAAAATATGTTTATAATGATCCACATGATTTCTGATGAAAAGAAAATTGCCTTATTGGAACAGAAAAAATAGGGAGTCAAATTCTACATAGAGTAAAATATCTTAACTGAAAAACATACCTAGAAGCCATTAGCTCTGTGCTTTTATGTTCTGAGCTCTTCAGCAATCATTGCTTACATCCCATTTAGCAGACTCAATGCACATTACCCATCACAAAGAAACACATGTACCATTGCAGTCTGAACATTATCTTATTGTGTTTAAATAGATCCAAAGTGCAAGGACTCACAGAATCATAGAATTACACAGCACAGAAGGAGGCCATTGGGCCCACCGTGTCCATGCTGGCTCTTTGAAAGAGCTATCCAAATCAATCCCACTCCCCTGTGCTCTTTCAATAGTCCTGCAAATTTGTCCCATCCAAATATCTACTTCTCTCTTCAAAGTTGTTATCGAATTGGCTTCCACCACACTTTCAGGCAATGCAATACAGATCCAGAAATTCAGACAGCTCCTTGTAGGTTAATGCACCATGACAGCTGACTTATTGTCATAAAGATTCAAGAAGTGCACCTTTTGAACCTTAGTGACTTGAAACCAGCTGCCACAAGTGTTGTCTTCATCAAATAGTTCAAACAGAAATTACCCGCCTGAAGGTAAGAACAAGTTAATATACTTTGATCTGTTCCTTATAAAAAAAATCTGCATCAACGCCAGTAATGGTAAAAGAAAGCATGCTGTGATAATTCCAATTAAAGATATCCATCGCGTATTTAGTTAGTATCAATTACATTGCTCCGTGATTGCTTCCAGATCCTTTCATCTCATTCCAATTCTGGAAATAGTCACGTTTGTTTTGTTATCTTTGAAGAAGTCGGTTCGCATCTTTGATGTTCGTGAAACGTGCTCATTCGCTAAGGATATTTATTTAATTCATGCCCCTGACATACCAGGAGTGAATGATGCAAAAAGCTTCATATCATCAATGACAACCCAAGCCTGGTTCCAATGAAGATAATAACATTTCTGATTGAGACAATCATAGAAATTACAGTGCAGAAGAAAGCATTGAGACAACATTGATGTAAGCTCCTCCAATGGAGGTAACTACTTGAGTTCTAATTCTAGTCCTGTCTTCTTATACCTTTTGTATATTGGAGTAACATCTGTGATATTCCTTAAAGGATTCTTTAACAGATTTAAAGAGGTTGTACCCTTCATTAGGTACCCCTGCTCTGTTGCTCAGTCAAGTGCTTTAGAATGACCACCCAATGTAAAAGGCGCTATATAAGTGTAAATTGTGTGAAAGGCGCTATACAAATGTAATTTATTCTTGTTGTTGTATTGCATTCTATTGTATCTGCCTAGGAGGGACAACATCTGTGTTCTCTGAGGCCAAAATATTATTTTTAG